GGGTCTTGTGAAAATATTTTTTGGGGTGAACTCCCTTGCAAACCCTGAGAAGGTACATTCTCTCACACTTTTATTTTATTTTTATTGTTTGGTTTGTTATTATTTCTCCCTACATCAGTTGGTATCTGAGCATGTAGGTCCAACTTTTTGCAATGCCACTGAAAGCTAATCTTGCTATGGATGATCGTTTGGGTTAAGCTTTCAAAAGTTTGACCAAAGTCATGGAGGATGTTCGTGAAAGTTTAACCTAAGTCATGATGTTCGAACATAATTTTGTAAAATGAATCAATGGTTACAACAGTTGGAGGACACCATCCACCAAGAAGAGGACGCTCGCAACCATATGGATGTGGCGTCAAAACTCACTGTAGAGGCGAAACAAGTTATCGATCGACCCGGGCTACTAATCCCGATCGTAACGAAGAAATTTACAAACAAGATCTGTCTTATGATGCATCAACATGATCTTGGTATTCAGCTCGATTTTCTCAAGTTGAATAGGATGTGAGTTTAATACCGAAATCTCGTGGACGCTATATGGGACGCAGATCTTGCTTGTGAATTTCTTCATTACAATCGGGATCGACACCCTGGGTCTGTCGTGGGACTACTGGTGCAAAATAGATATGGTTGCGAGCACCCTCTTCTGTATTAACATTGTTCTCCAACCGTTGTAACCACTGATTAATTTCACGTACTTTGGTTCGAACATCCTCTATGACTTTGGTCAAACTGTCACGAACATCCTCCATGACTTTGGAGAAAATTTCTATAGCTTGTCCCAAAACGATCAGCCATAGCAGGATTAGCATTCGGTGGCATGGTAAAGAACTGGATCTACTTGTTCTGATACCAACTGATGTAGGGAAAAATAATAATAAATCAAGAAATAACAATAAAATAAAATTTTTAGAGAATATACCCTCTCAAGGTCTGCACAGGAATCCACCTCAAAAATATATTTCCACAAGTTCAATTTTACTCAATTCACCGCTCTCCTTACAATGAGGGACTTCTTCCTTTTAAATACATTTAGAACAAAATAAATAAATAAATAAATAAATAAAAACACACTTCTCTCCTTTTAAAACTCTTTTCTTTCCTAAAACGATAACCTTTCTAACTACATATTTATCAAAAGTTAGACTTTCTAACTAAAAGATTGACTTTCTAAAGATTAGAACGTGTCATCTAAAGATTGTCCTTATTTCTCTGTATCTAAAAGATAACTCCTAAAATTCAAAAGTAAATATCCTTTATACCCCTCAAATCTCCACAACAAAAAAATATAAAAATAATACTAAATAAACTAACAACCTAAATAATACCAAATCTAAAATCAAGAAAATATAAAAATAAAAAAAATACAAAAAACACCGATTTTTTATTTGCATCATATAACCCCAAACAACACACATAATTGCATTTCCCTTCTTCAAGTGCATGAATTCAGTTCATGAATTTCAATTCAACTCAAGGTTTTAAAAATCGCCCATCCGGCCAATACAGATCGGTTTTCCAAGGGACCGCCCCAGTTTCCTTAATATATCAAGAATCAGGTGGTTCCAGAAAAATTTGGACGGCTCTCTTACAAAACCAGCCAGTTCTTTCTAAGAATCGCAACTAACTTGAGTTGAACCGGTTACAGGTCCCAATCTTTTATTTTTCTTTTTTATTTTCTTCAAATTTATAATTTTTTTTTAAGAGAAGGCTGGTCCACCCCTCTATGCAAAGAGAAACCCTCCATTTATTTGTGTGGGCCCATTACATTCGTTGGGCAGCTAAACAGCCTGCTCACCACCCCATCCCATTAGTCATTTTATATCCTGGCCACCCTATATTGCTCTTCAAGTTCCTGAAGTGGGACTAAAGCAAGGTTTCCACATCGGGGGCCTTGAATAAAATACTTGTCAATCTAAGTTAGGCCTAAATCATGAGGTCTATTCATTGATTTCATATGAAGTTGAATGTAAAACCATAGTTGGTCGAAACGCTTGGGAATCCGAATCGTTTTAGGAATCGCGGCCGGCTAGAAGATTCCTACCTTAGGAATCGTTGTCCGTACAATAGGAATCGCTGGGAATGAGATTCCTAGTTTTGAGAATCATGTTTTGATCGAAATAGCTCTAAGTTTCATCCACATATGGAATCGAGATTCCCATTCCCCTAGAATCAACACTCCAAGAGTCGAGATTCATTAATATGTGGAATCGAGTTTCCGACATCTATAGAATCAAGTTTCTGACATTTGTGGACCAGAGATATGTTGTTGTTTTGAATCGTGATTCTAACATATATGGAATCAAGTTTCTGAAGTATATGAATTAGAGATCCATGCCAGTTTGAGATCGAAATTTATAATAATATGGACTATGGAATGTGTTTGACAACACCTATCAGAAATCGAGATTTCATTTTTATGGAGAAGGAAGCCACAAGCATATCTTGAGCCTCATCAACTTTAGAACTTACATTGGATGTCTCTTATGAGAAGGTTTCCCAAATTTTAAAGTGATTGAGCTGATTATTGAACTTACAATCATTAGACAAGTATTTCTAAATTGTGATTTTGACTTCATTATTATAAAGACAAAATAGGATTATATCTACGCCATGTTTTTACCTTTAATTGTATGTGTTGTATTCACTAGTTATATTTTAAATTTAAAATAAAGGCCACCCAGGGTGACACAAGTAAAATAATGACTGCAACCACTAGAAGCATTCGAAGGAAGATTTCTACTCCAATTGATGTGGAATCAAGATTTAATCCTCACTGAAATCCAAATTCGATATATTTGGGAATGTCTACCCACAATTAATGGGTTCAAGTTTCTAAAGATGTGTTGGATCGAGATTCTGAAATTAACGAATCAAATTTCCTGGGTTCCGCTAAATGGTTTCTAAAGATGTGTTGAATCGAGATTCCGAAATTAAAGAATCGAGTTTCTTTGGTTTCGAAAAATGGTTTCTAAAGATAAGATTCTAAAATTAAGGAATCGAGTTTCCTTGGGTTACGAAAAATAGTTTCCACGGAGATTCCTTAATGGAAACGCGGAATCGAGTTTCGAAACTAGAAACGCGAGGTCGGTGGAGAGATTCCGGTAACTATGTGTAAAACACATGCGCACGCACAATCAAAAGGAGATAATTTCCTTTTGTTTATTTTTTATGTTTATTTTTACTTTTGATCGTCAATTACAGATAATTCCTTCTTAGACAATGCTAGGTTTATACGTTTCTTATAGATGCCCCAACAAATGTGGACTTTGATCATAAATGGAGGCATGTACATAAGAACCACGACAGGATTTGATGAACTCAAACCTATTCGCAGTTTCAGAATTATTGTTCTTACAAGTTAAAGCTGGAACCAAATCACAAAATCAGGTATTTCATAAAGTATTCTGACCATATGATAGAGGCATCATATGTGATGCAATTTGCGAGAAAGCATCATTCACATAGTGCAAATACAAAAGGAGCTTATTGTAGCGCCCCCCCCCCCCCAATTTTGTTTGTGCTTGATAGTTGAGTCTCAAGCGTTGATGTTATCCTAAAGCAATGGTGAGCCATGAGATTGAAATTAAATCAGTTGTATATGGTAGCCAACACTTCCCTTAAAACAAAACAATTTAGTTCGACAATAATTGTAACATCTTCGATCAAAGAACAAAAGAGAATAATAAACCCACATTCTTGTGAGTAATTCACATAGTATTTGACAAACAACTCATACTCTATGTGCAAAAGAAAGTTACTATAACTACAACAATGAACAAATGCGTGATATGAAAAAAAGGAGAATGCTAGGCCACCATTTACTTACGACAGTAAAATTACACAACAAAGACAAAACAATTGGTATATGCTTAAGCATGTATTAGTTAAACACACTAGAGAATTTCCAGGAACCAATGAAATAACATGTCTAGGTTTCAAAAATTAGTCATCTAATAATATGAGCATATTGATCAAATCTAAAGTACTAGAGTAGTAGCAAAACTACTAAAATTTAGAGATCATGTTCCCCTCTTAAAAGCATTGATAGATTCATGTTATTTCATGGTCTTCTACATATAAACTTAGACTAAGGGAAAAAAAAACACAAAGCACGCCTTGAGGTGTATATGTTACACTATTTTGTAAAAGATCCAAACGGATAGAAATCTCAAGCATGTAAAATGCTCTTTACAGAAAAATTTAATAGAAATAGCCCTTCAGGATTCCTCTAAAAACAGAATTTAAATGACTATTTACGTGTATCTTTCTTCCCAAACAGCGAAACTTCAACAGATAACTAGGCAATACCAAAACCATGATCGTTTGCTCCTAAAACAATGATAACTAACATGATAGTGCAACAAAGTACATAGGGATATGTAAAGAAACAATAATGACCCTATGTAAAGAAACAATAATGATACTAATAACAACAACAGCGATGGCTCCTCAGAACAACTACTTATGAAGGTAAGGCTTCTTTGGATTCTATCTATTATTTCCAATATCCAATAAGACTCATCAAACTTCATGAAATTGGTCCTATTTCTAACGAGTAAAGCCAAAATCAGATTGGAGCAACATAAGATCAGATTATGACTTGCATTGACTGTATTTCTAGGTCATCTCGAGTACAAAAACTTTCCAGCATAAATATTACTTCCTGCATACTTTCCTACAATAACAATAGAGCATTACTCCACAAGTAACAAGCAAGAACTGAAATACATTTAGGTAAGCACAACTTATCATTAATTTCCTTTCTTTATAAGTGTAGTAGATAACGCACATTAAACCAGTCAGAATTTTTTTATTTTTTTTGAGAAACAAAACCAGCCAGAAATTTACAAAGCACAAAGAGTTATAGACATTGTTTTAGAACGCCATTCTCCAGCACCACGAGGAAGGTGGTTATACTAAAAGGGAAAATCAGTGATCCAGACAAACACCCATATGGGCGTCTGAACTCACAGACAGACAGAGAGAGAGAGTCAAACCTGTCCAGACCAAGTGTATATATCAGTGTGGCAAAGAGCCGAAAAGAGGATCTTAACGCGAACCTCTCCGGCTTGTGGAGGCGCAACCTGGACATCCTCTATCACTAAGGGCTTGTTCGGCTCCCACGCCACAGCAGCTTAAAATAACAACCAAAAAAGACATCACAAATGACAAGGCAAATACCATTCCCTGATCCAATAACAAAGATCCCAAATGCAGCACAAAAGACATTCCCTAATTCCTACTGAATCAGAAAGGAAATTCCTTTCCCAATAAAGAGAGAAAGAAAAAGAGAGAGAGATAGGAGTGGAAGACGTAGTCGTGTGGAGTGTGAGAGAGGGAAAGCTAAGTTCAGAGAGAGTACCTTTGCAGGTGATAACCTGACCTTGTGTTGCCATGACTCCACTGGTTCAAGAGCAGTAAAGAAGAGCCCAAAATACAATTTCCTCGCTCGCCAGCTACCACTCGTTGGCATAATGTGGTCCAGAGCTTCTAATTAAACAGCAGAATCCACAAATGCCCTTACTCCACCATGGAAATAACGCTAGTGCCGGGGTTTGTTTGCTTCTTCAGTTGGTTTTTCCATTTATTGTTATTTTTATTTTCATTTCTAAACACGATCAGTTTTTCAATTGTAAAGGTCAGGAAAGTTGTCCAGACCGTACCTAACAAATCGCCTAATGAGACGACAAGCCATGTGACCTGCAAGGAAGGCATTTGGATAGGAAGTTTGAGGGAACAATTATATTTTTATAAAACTTGATGGGTAGTGATTTCATGCAACCGTTGTATAATAATATAATACAATAATCTTCAAAAATTATTGTAAAGCTATTTGTTTGATCCAAATTTTGAAATATACACTTTTTTTCATTCTAATAAACAATCACAAAAAGGAAAAAATTGAAAACAAAACCTAAAGAGTATGTTTTTAACCTAATTAACATCGGTCGTTTATTTTGATAAGATGTTCAGATCTAGGTTTTAGTTGGATTTTTTTTTTTTTCAATTTTTTTAGATGCCTTTATTATCATTAGATGCACAATGTTAAAAAAGAAACAAATGATTTTGAGTTTGTAAAAGCTAAGATCTTGAAATTCACTAAATGAATGGTCTAGATTTGATATTAGAGGGGACTGATTTTGACCATATCTAGGGTTCAAATTGAACTTTTTTTTTAGGATTGATTATTTAAATGAAGATAGTGTGTGTACAAAATTTTGGATCATACAAATACCACAAATATGGTTTTTTTGAAGTGTGGTTGCATTATACTACGATACAACCATTGCATGAAATCACTGCCCAAACTTGATATACTTGTAGTTATCTATCTACTATATATTAAACAAGAGGGGTTCACCTTCTATTTTTTCACATGTGTTTCTTATATTGATCATTTTGTGTACTTAATTCTTAAATTATTTCATGATTTCATCGTTATCCCTTAACTATCTCTTTGAATTTCAAACTTCTATGAACTCGCTTCTTTTCTTTTTTATAAATGTGTTTCTCTCTCTCCTTAAATATCGAGGACCTACTCTTGAGCGAGGGGGAAAAAAACATGTATGAGTACAAATTTAAGAAAGAAAAAAAATTAATGGAGGAATATTTGTTAGGACTTTAAGATAGAGATTAGGACTTTAAGAAAGAAGGAAATCTTTATATTTATATGAATATATCATATGCTCTTATCTTTAGAGATTTTAGAATAGTCTCTATTGAATCTCATTCTTTAAATAAAATAGGAGAGTTTTAAGGATGTAGAGATTTTTGAATAATAAGTTAAAAAGAGATAGGCATAGAGAGACATCTTTTGAAATGGTGCGTCAAGTTTTGTTAACATGAGTTTTCAAAAACCAAACTACCAAAACAACATCCATGTGAGAGCAATTTTACAAATTTGAACATCCCATAATTGCTGCTCACACTACAAGACATAGAATATGAACATTGTTAACTCCTTCCTTTTCTCTCTTTCTTTATATTCTCCTAGTCTCACTTATTCTCTCTCTCAACTATCCTCACTAATATCTCATTTTACACCATTGTTTACCCTATCTCTCTCTTCTTTTGTTTTTTTATAATATTAGAAACTTTTATTAACGATGTGCTGAAACAATATAGAATTACAATGCAGAAATTAGAATATCATAAATAGACAAAGAGTAAAAGAAGACCATCTTTAGCTAAGCTATCTGCAGCTCCATTGCCCTCACGATAAACATGGCAAAAAGAGATTTGTAGGTCCAAGGTAGAGCAAAGATCTAAGATTTTCAGTCCAAAACCATGAAGAGTCCAAGTAATTTTTTGCTCCAACTTACACCATTTAATGACAATGAGTGAATCTCCTTCAATAAGAACATTTCTCAATATTCTCTTACTGACAATAAGTTCCAGTCCTTGCAGAAGGGAGCAAATTTCAGCCCGATTGGCCACGGTGATATCACAAGGACCTGTATATGAGAAAATAATGAAACCCTCACACTCCCTAAGCAATCCTCCAATTCTAGCTAGTCCCAGATTACCAAAGAAGCTACCATCAAAATTAAGCTTGAGAGAGCATTCAAGGGGAGGTTTCCAAACATAGTGCGAGCGACAGATTGGTGTAAAAGAGAAGACCAAATTCTTAAGGTTAACAAAAATGTCAACCTTCGAAATTCCTCGCCCCTCACTAGTGGAAGAAACCAATGCCAGAGAGTCTGAAGGATGTGATCTTTAACATCTTCAATATTAAGAGATACCCCAACAAAAGTTCTCCTATTGCGCTCCAACCAAATTTGCCAGATGATATTACTTCTAAACTTTTTCCCAATTAGAACTCCTTTTGAGGGTGTTATACGTCATTTTTGACGTACCTTAGTCCCTCAAGCAAATAAAGGAGAGGGCCGGCGACAACCTAATCACAGCGGTACGCAAGACATGGTTACACGGGGGTAGTAGTCAAGAATAAGCCTCGAACAAGAATGACCAAGGGAATAATACTTGTGTGCCCAAGGGGCAAAGTCTTATTCCACCGTCATGGACACAAAGGCTAGATAACGCTCTAAACGACTACTGTCGTCACCTTCCAAAGAGAAGCTGGCCTGAGCTCAATCGGGTCAACCCAGCAACATTAAGCCCGCCCCATCGTGAAGTAGGGCAGAGGCACGCTTTCGCCATACGCCCTCACCAAACCAGTCAATGGCCATGGAGATTTCTGGCCACTCCTCGACGAGCTCGTGACTCCTTCCCTGCAGCAGAAGAGTGGCTAAGGCCTCAAACGCTAGCAAAGCCTCAACCGCACAGACCCCCAAAGCGAGCAAACATGAAGACAAGTATGCCCTACGAAGGAAGAAAGACGGCCTGAATTCATGGACGCTGCAATCTTCAAAATGACGTCTTGGCCCTCATAGAAAACTTGGCCGCGTGGAAACCAAGACAAAAAAGAACACTCCCAGAAAGAAACCCAAGTCAACATGACAAGCGGCGTTCAAAACAAAACAGAAAAGACACGAAACCCAAGGTCACAGAAGAAATAAAAAAATCCCTTGTCGCCGGAATCCCTTTTCTGGTGATCTCTCGAATATCACAAAGCAAAGACTAAAAAGCAAACTGAACTTGTTGCAAAAACACTGAAAGGAACTTGCCCTGTCTCGCAATCAACACAAAGACACCGCATATCAAGAAAGAAACCATTGAAAAGTTCATAAAACTAACCGAACTCCTTCCCTCACGAAAGAGATTGTCGAAGCACGATCAAAAGAGATCAAAACGATCACAAGAAAATGAACGTTGAGAATATAGCAATAGATTGACCGAACTCACACTGCAAGTATCCGAAAAGAGCTCTTGAAGTTTGACAATGGCGGCGGGCTCCTCAAGGAAGGACAAGTCTGTCATTTATACAAAAGAGTTTATGGCCATTTTGGTCATTGTACCCAATTTTGGGACTTTATTTTAAATTCTTTTAATTGTATTTAGGCTTTGTTTTTTAGTATCCACCTCTGTTTGGTGAGAACTCTATATAAATAAGCTTAGGTCAATTGTAAAAAGGGGATTATAATTCAATAAAGAAGAGACATGAAGCTTGCTTTTGTTTGTCTTTTCTCTTAACCATAGCATCCCAAAGAGAGGAGAGAGAAAACTTTTGCAAAAGAGAAATACCCCCAACCACGTAGGTATACACCTCTCTTCTCTTGAAGATATCTAACATCACCAAAAATTTCTCCCTTCCCCTCTAAACATGTAATCCTGCACACATACAAAACCGCGCGGGCGCGAGCAAGTCAAAGAGCTCAAACCAATGTGCGGCCGTGTCTAGCCCCCTCTTTTCTAGGACAGTTTAACCTAACCAAGGAAACCCCATGCTCGCCTGTTCGACTATCCGAAGAGACATCGCTGGAAGAGAGTCAATCCAAAGAAGAATTGAGACATCCATTGAAATTTAAACATGAGAGGGGAGAAAAGAGTTGATAACGTTTGAAGAGAGTCCCTAATCAAACCATGCTGGTGAACAGTCGAAAGGCTTTCGTAACTGATCTAAGAGGGCGAACCGCCCGGACGTGTCCCACGAACCCTCAACGATGAGGTGAGTAAATTGACATTCTCTCGTCGTAAAATCTCTCTCTTTGTTGGTATCCTATCCGCGCTCGAGAAAGCACGCGTGCGAGCCTTCTGCAGTTGTTTGAGAGAGGATTTCCTCCCCCCGTCTCGCCCGAGGGACCAAGAGAAAATCAGGCCCCGACCAACTGGCGACTCCATTGGGGACACACCACCCTGTAGTTGGCTCGGACTGTTTTCGGACGAAAACCCTCTTCTCCTATCTTTCTAAAATTTCAATGAATTCCCACTCTTCTTCTCTTTTCCAAATCGAGGACTATCTCATCCCCATATCAATGGCTCATTCTTTCACGAGTGGGTTAGCTGGTCCTGCTATCCTAGTCCAACCTAAGATAACTCGGAGTGTGCGCATCCATGCCCCTACTCCTTCCTCCGCCCATATTTGGAGGGAACCCAGTGAGGTTAACTCTAAGGGTTGCGCCGCAGCCACTCTCCCACGCCCTCATGACTGGCACCTTGTCAGCTGTAAACCAAGGCGAGGGTTCCTCGCTGCCCTTCCCTGCCGTTCGGTAGACCCCAATAGGGCTGCCACCTCCATGGGCGCCCATAAAGTAGGTCTGCCCATGCCACACACCATCGGTGCATGTGCGTCCTCCTTCGCACACACCAACATCACAACTGATGGTCTGACCATCACTGTGACAAATCGGGATAGATGTCAGTCCATTTCAATCCCCTTCACCCATTGTGGGTCACCTCAGACCCAAACTCACCACACGCGGTCTGCCGACCGCCTACATGCCACGTAATAACTCAGTGCTCAGGGCAACACAAACGGTGGACCCAGATGAGCACACAAGCTTCGGACCAACTGAAGAGCCCGAAAACCAGTGCACATGCATGTCGAGGGCCCTAAGGTCTGCCAAACCCACCGGGCAGGCATCCCAA